CCAGGAAAATGGAACATGGTCCAACTTTCAAAGCTGAACTGGTTGAAAAGGAGAAACTAAGCTGAAAAATAACAACTAAATGGAGCCGCTTAGAAGCAGATTCTGCATTTTTAGGGGACTTAATTAAATTTTTTCCTTTAATGGTCAAATATGGCAGATTTTGTAAAAAAAAAACAAAAATAATAATAATAAACCCACTTCCCTCATACCTTGTGCTTTTCACCAGTAGATCCCAAAGCACTTTAGTTTTACCCTCATCATTATTTATTGCTGCCAGATTGTTTTGGACCTAAGAGCCACAAATACGTTTAGTAACATTTATTCTTTTCTTTTTGCAGAATTTTTTACTTTGAATGAATCCCCGTCTCCTGAGATTAACATTCCTAACGGCCGGTCCGTTACACTAGTGTAATTGTATTGACTTCAGTGGAAGTGTACAATTGTAACAAAGTAAAATTGGTGCCTTTAATTAGATAATAAACAGATGGTAGGTCTGTTGTGAGTCAGACGCAGGATGGAACAATAAATTCTCTGCTTTATTCTGCTCAGACAGCTACACCACCAGCAGCTGGGTTTTGCTTCTGGTTCCATCTCCCCACGGCCTCATCTCCACTGGGACGGTTGATCTGGCTTGCATTGTCCACGGAGTCTCCAACCCAGTCCAAATTTCCTGGAATATTTCTGGGGATCAGCAGGAACAGGCACTAATGCGATCACTGAAAGCAAAGGATGGATCCTTAATGCTCATAAGTCACATTAGCATCCCAAAAGACACCTGGACCAGTGGGAAGATTTTCACATGTGAAGTCAAATTCAACTCTTCTGGCAACAGAGTTAAGAAAAGTGCCAGGTATTTTGAATGTGAGTGATTTTATATTTGCTTCTGTAACTAAAAGAAATCACGACTTTACTTAACCTGCAAGGCGAGTAAATAACGGATGACACAGAGAGAAGGCTGAAGTGTTTAATGCATTTTTTGCTTCAGTCTTCACTGGAAAGGTTAATTGTATCCAGTTGCTTAACACAATAAATATTAACAAAAAGGAGGAAGGATCTCAGGCCAGAGTAGGGAAAGAACAGGTTAAAGAATATTTAGATAAATTGTATGTATTTAAGTCAGAGGGGCCTGATGAAATTCACCGTAGTGTGGTAGAGAGAGAGTGCTTGGAGCACTGGGCCTGGTGCAAGACCTGAGGCCAGACCTAGAGGCTGTGAACCAAAGTCAGGCTATGTATTAAAGCAGATGCTTACAAGTTCACTGTCAGGTACATGAACTTGGCAAAGTTGCTAAAACATAGCAAGTAGGAAGTACTAGGCACTAGATATTTACGTAAATACATTCCAGAAAGCTAGTACATATCCACCCTAATCTAGTACAAGATGAGATGGTTTGACAGAATAACAAATAAGGATGTTTTGTCCGAGATATTAGGAACAAGATACAAGGGGAAGTAACAAAGAGATGCCATGAGACACATAAGGTGGTACGGAAGTTGTTTATCTCCGTTGTTTGTCTGTGTCTATAAATGTTGGGGGACCTTGCCTTAATCCTTTGTGCGGCCGAGGGGACAGCAGAAATTCCCACTGCTGACTGAGCCGTGCCTTGCTAGGGGGCACTCATTGGTTAATGTACTTGTGTGAGTCGTTAGGACTGTGACTTGAGGACAGTAAACCTGTCCGAGTGCCTTTGTCACCGAGCCATGCCTGTCGTCTTTCCCTCTGAGCAATGTAGAGAGCTGCTGAATTCAAAGGCTGAGCTCTCTGCTGGTGCTGTTAACGCCAGAGCTCCAGGGACAGGAGCACTGAGTAGCCGTTAACAGCTCAGCAGCCTTGAGTGTCACAGCAACAACGTTCCACCCTTCCACCCCTAGGATACTTAAGGAAGTAGCTGATCCAATCTCATTAGTGATCATCTTCGAGAATGCATGAAGATGTTTGTAACTTTGAGGTTCTAGTGTAGTTAAGAACTTGAACATGCTACCTAGGGAGGTTGTGGAATCCCGGGAGGTTGTGGAATCCCAGGAGGTTTTTAATAACCGGTTGGACAAACACCTGTCAAGCACGTTCTAGGTTTGCTTGATCCTGCCTCAGCACAGGCGCCTGGACTTGAGGTCTTCTCACGGTCCCTTCCAGCCCTACATTGCTCTGATCCTATGACTTGTAAACTACATGGGTGGAATCCTGGCCCCACTGAAGTCAATGGCAAAAATCCCATTCACTTCAATGGAACCAGGTTTGTAAATTAAGCCAACGTGTTTAACGCAACGGTGCAAACGTGACTGTCCCAGCTCCCGATGATCCGCCGGAGTCTGCTTCCTCCACAGTCCATCCCAGCGGGTGTGTGCCGCAGATATTGCACCACGTGGTGGCAGTTTTCCTGGTGGGGTTGATGGTGTCTCTGAGTCTGGCTTGGATTCGCTGCTGTTCCAGTCCAGGTAATCAACACATCACCGTCCATGCTAGATGGAGAGACCTATAGGCTCAGCAGCCCTATTCATATTTGGGCTGACTTCTCTCACAGACACAAACTGAAAACAGTTCTATCAGTCCCTTCTGCTCGGCCTTGCTGAACATGTATTCCTTCCTGCTGCTCAGCAACTCTTCGGTAGAGAAAAGCCCTATATTCAACCAGGGAGTCACTGTTGCATCTGAGGACTGACACACTATTTAGATCAGTCATCGTTTGCTTTATCACCCAGGGCCAATTTCTACCTGAAACAAGCAGGTGAAACTCCCATGGGAATCTCTGGGCAAATTCCATTGGGATGTAAATTACACAGCAGAGGCCTGGTTATCCCATGAGTTGTAAATGCACAACTCCCATTGAAATAGCAGGATAATCTGACTCTGGGTGTAAATTGGCGAGAAAACACGTGTAGGGGGTGAAGCGGTTTAACTTGCACCAATGGGCCTATTGCCACTCTTTTGACTCAAGCGGCCAGTCAAATTTCAGGGCCTTCGGGTTCCAGCTGGAAGTAGAAATGGATGGACTCTAGTGTTTTCTTTGTTCATTCCTTGTAAATAAACAAGATTGCATCAAAGTCCTGCTCAAGTGCATGAGGAACCAAGAACAAAATGGGAAGTTTCTAAGGGCATGGCTACACTTGCAGATGTAGAGCGCTTTGAGTTAAACCAGCCTTCAGAGAGCACAGTAGGGAAAGCGCTGCAGTCTGTCCACACTGACAGCTTCAAGCGCATTGGCGTGGCCACATTTGCGGCACTTGCAATGGCATTGGGAGCGGTGCATTACGGGCAGATATCCCAGCATGCAAGTGACTGCAACGTGCTTTTCAAATTGGGGTGGGGCAAGGGAGTGTTGTGTGTATGTGGGGGGAGAGAGAGTGGGTTTTTGGAGGGCTGAGCGCATGTCAGCATGCTGTCTTGTAGGTTCAGAGAACAGCAGACCCCTTCTGCCCCCCGCCTCTCTCTCTCACACATAGCATTCCACACTAATGGTTGCTTTGTCTCGGAGCAGATAAGCATCCGGCTGTCAGAAACGGAGCTTTGAAAGGGCATATCCGCATTCCTGCAGCGATTCAAAACAATGACAAGAGTGGCCACTTGACTTAAGGGGATTATGGGACATTTCCAGAGGCCGATCAGAGCGCAGTAATGCAACACCCCGTTCACACTGGCACAACAGCGCTCCAGCGGGGGCGCATCAAATGTTATTCCACTCGCCGAATTTGGAGTACCAGGAGCGCTCTAGCCATGGAGTCAGAGCGCTTTATGTGCCTTGCCAGCATGGACAGGTAGTGAGCTAGGCTGCCGAGTGAGCTAGGCCACCCATGGCTGCTTTAATGCACTCTAACTCGCAAATGTAGCCAAGCCCTTAGCTAACATCCCCAAGCCTCTTCAGCCAACACTGGGCCCAAAATCTCTCTCTCCAGCTTTTTCCAGGGTCATGCTACTCACAGGCTGCTGCCTGGCTTTCCTGCTCTTTGCCTCTGCCTCTCTGTTCTTGTCTGTTCTCAGTTTCTGTGTGTTTTCCCTGCATACACCCCACACGAGCAATACTCAGCAAACCCCCTCTGCCTGCTTAGTCAGCGTGGGTTCATAACTCCCTTTTGCCGTAGGTGGGGGCATTCTGCTTAATTCATCCCGAGAGCTACCTTAATTGAAGGGTGCATTCACACCTAATCGCAGCAGAGGTTTGTAATCCAAACTGTCACGAGTACCTCTCAGCATAACGCTACTGTTTGCTGGTTGTGCAAAAGGAGTGAATTTAGGATGCAAACTATTCACCACTATAATTCTCCTGGAGCTGGATTTACACCCTGGATGAATTTGGCCCATTCCGTCTGTTTTGGGAATACGGTAAAGGAGGGAGAACTGCAGCCTCAGGGGAGTTAAAAGGTGCATTAAAAACTATCTGAATCCTAAAGTCTGTTTTCAGCCATGTGCTGAACTCTTAAAGCAAGGTTTCCACAATGGTTTATGTGCTAATAATGTGCACTGTTTGCAAGAGAAGCAATAAATATTAGTAACCTGTTTGAAACCGTGTCAAACTCGAACAGTTATCTGACCTTCCCTGGAGGTGACTAATGGTACGAAATGTTGTCAAACAGGCTCAAAGGGTTTATGCCCGAGTGAAGTTTCAGTCAAGGAATCACAACCAGATCAGGATGCAGTGGCTGATGGACGAGAAAAATCCTAACCCACCCTGAGATCCGAGCCTGGAAACTCACAGCTGGTTCACTGCTGACCTCAACGACGGTAGCCATTTTGTAAGATGGTGTCTTTCTGTAAAAGCTGTTGGTTTGTTTTTACTGCTTCTGCTCTTCACCGCTGCTGCATGTGGCTCAGTTGCAAAATATAATTAAAAAGTAACCTGACTTGTCCACCTCCTAGAGTATAAATAGCAGGAAGTCACAGAAAGAACCAAACCCGTGGAGGTGAGAGATTTCCTGCTGCGATAGGCAAGACATTGTCATGCCTGTGAGGGGGCTGCTGGCCCCTTCCTGACACTTACTGGGGTTCTTTGGTCGGCCCTTTCCCAGTACCAAAAGAAAGGGGACGGGCCGATGAGAAACTGACAGTCCTCGGGGTCAATGGGGAGAGGCCGATGCACCAAGTCAGCTAGATTGACGGGGCAGGCAGGCCAATGAGGGAGCCGGGAGCCTGGAGGGCCCGTCCTCCATCTGAGGTTTACCTGCCTACGGCAGACTGAGTAGGGCTGAGCTAAGGGGAGAGCAGCAGCCGGCGCTGAGGTCGAGGCAGAGGGATCAGGGAGCAGCCCAGATGGCAGAGCTGGGCTGGGGGTAGAGCTGGGCTAGGGGCAGAGCAGACCAGCCGCCGACAGGGAGCCGGGCTGAGCTGCAGCGGGGAGCTGCTGGGCCGGAGCTGGGGAGTGGACGCCGGCCCCGCCGCACGTAACACTGGAGCCGAGCGCGCTGAGCGGCTGGCGAGAGTGAGGGGGACTCTGTGCGCAGGGAGACGTCGCCAGACAAGAGGCCTTGCAGGCCAGACTTGGAGCAGGGACATGAACCCGATGGGACGGCTGGTGCTGGGGAGAAGGGTCCTGCCATCTAGATCCTGAGGGCGAGTGGCCACCCCCAGAGCAGGTGTCTGACCCGGGGTATCACCGCAGCACAGCCAGGGCCTGGGACGTGTGAGGAACAGACTGTGAGCTCCCCTGACATCCCAGAGCCGGCTGGTTGTGCTGTCTCCTGTGCCCACTGGGTGGAATTCCTTGTTCCCTTTAACCTTTCCCATTTTTCCCCAATTTTTTTTACTGTTGTTGTTTAGTGGATTGCATTGGGTTTGAACTATCTATATTGATCCGGGGGTCAGGGAAGTGTCCGGTGTGGAGAGAGGACCCCAGAGTGCGGACACCCTCTCCCCTGTCCCGTGCAGCAAAGTCCTCACATCCTCGACAAGACGGGGGTTTCAGCCTCCCAGGAATCCTGGGCCCAGCCTTGTTGGCGTTTTGCCGCATGGGAGACTGAAAAGGGAGTCCTCAAGGTCAGACAGGCATCTGGGTAAAGGGAGTTGGAGTGAGGACTCAGATCCGTTCGATGGCCAATTCCATCGGGTTAGTGTATGAGCCAGGAAAGTTCCCCACTTCCTCCCTGAGCTCAGTTACTCAGGCTGGGTGCTAGTAATAGGAGTTGGGGCGTAGGGCCTGCCTTATTCACACAGGCAGTCACAGGGAACTCAGCTACTCTCATGTCTAATCCGAGTCCTTAGTGGTGTCGAAAGGGGAGGTGGGAGGTTGTACCCACGAGAAACTGAACATTCACCTGATTGGGTGTGAGACTCAGGTGTGTTACCAGTGGCACAAGGAGGACCAGAAAAACCTAGATGCAGAACCAGACGTGGCCCCCTGACGCGTACAGCAGATGGAAGGGGCAGAACCAGACAGAAGTGGGTAGAGACTGCTTCCTAGGAGCTGTCATCAGCAGGACCGTGCCGCCTGGCCAGCAGTATCGTTCCATGGTGTGAGGGGAGATTATAAATGGGAAACAGTGTCTGAACGGAGCTGTGTGAGGTCAGGCTCTCTCCGCATCCCTGTCCTGGAGCAGCTACTCCAACGAATTCCTTGGGAGACTGCTGCTTTTCCTGAAGGGGTCGATCCACAGGGCCAGGTGCCAACACCCGTCTGTCTTCTCTCAGTAACAATGCTTTATCAATGGGAGGGGCTCCCCCAACCACGGAGCCTGCACATGCCGCCTGGTGTGATACTAACTCCTCATTTTGAATCTGTAATTCTAAATGTTGCTCATTAAAAAATATGCCACTTCCTCCCTCATGTTTCAGTTCCTTTCTTTAGCAGCTGAGATGCATGAAGCTCAGCATATTATATGTGACAGGTGACTTCTACATTCTTTGGGCCAGTTCTGCTCTCACTGATGCTGGTGTATACCAGTAGAGAGGAACTCTGCTGAAGGCAGTGGAGTTACTCTGGGTTTACAGGGGGTCACTGAGAGCAGAAGATGGCCTTTTGTATTTCATTTAGGGCCAGGCGATGAACCTCTCACTCCCATTGGGGAGCCATTATTCACAGCAGGGGTGCCACTGAAGTTCCAGGGACTGCTCACATCCGTAACGTCTCACCCGTGTGGGTACAGGTGTTACAGTCTGACCCTTAACATCCATGTTCTGTTACTGGCTGCTAAACCAGCCCTGTGACTCACCACAAGTGATAATAGCTCACCTTAACTGATCACTCTCGTTATAGTGTGTATGGTAACACCCATTGTTTCATGTTCTCTGTATATATACATATATCTTCCTACTGTATTTTCCACTGCATGCATCCGATGAAGTGGGCTGTAGCCCACGAAAGCTTATGCTCAAATAAATTTGTTAGTCTCTAAGGTGCCACAAGTCCTCCTGTTATTTTTTGTAGTAAATATGAACATATAGGCCTGATTTTGATCTAAGTACTGACCCCAATGCCACAGCACGGCCAGCCTTGGGCTGGGATCCCTTTAGATTACTCCCTCCATACACGGTGAGTGCTTGGATGGGAAACCTCCTCCAGTATAGGAAGTAGCTTCACAAATTCAGTGGGTGACACTTTCACCCTCAATCAGAACCAAATTCCCAACATGGTGATAGGGGGTGCTGTGGTGCAGGAAATGGCACCTTCCAGTCAATATGTAAATCCAATGCCCCCTCAACCTACAGTCGCTCCTGCACAGCTTTCTTGCAAGAATGGAGGTGTCAACCCAGAATATGGGTTCAGAGAAATGACCGTGGAAGGGTTTGTATTTCAAGGAAATTCATATAACATTATAGCACATTACAAACATGAGACTTTCTCTATTTCTCTCGCTTTCTCTTTCATTCTTTCTTTCTGCATCTCCTGTTTTAAAAAACATAAGCCATTTTTGTGAGACTTAGTTACTGGGGAGCATTTCTGTTACTGTACATCAGAGTCGCATATTCAGTCTGAAACAGAAAAAGGAAAGATCAGATATTTGTTAATTTTATTTGGAAAGTTCAAAAGGCATCAACTGATCAGGTTTTGTTTTATAAGAATGTGAAAAACATATTTCAGTGGTGTAGATTTCTTGGTTGTGGTCTTTTGTCCTGGTAGCTGAGTTCAGTGGCTGGATGGTGTTGGTGGCTTGTGATATACATAAGGTCAGACTAGAAGTTCTGGTGGTCACTTATAGAAATATACACTGCACTATTTCACCGTCTCTGACCTGCAGCCACCTCTGGGGTGGAACCCAGCAGGTCTTTGGTACTAATAACCCTACACAACACTTCTACTAGAAGAGCAGAGAAGAATAAATACAAATGAAACCTCTGTGAATTCAGGAGGCAAGGTGTAGACACTAGGGTTGGAAATTGGCCACGACACTGGTTCTAATCCCCTGTTGTTAATACATTGTATCTTTCTAACATACCAATGATGGAAAAAGCAGTTTACCTGTGGCATCTGCCTCATAGGTATTTGATTCCCTCTTTGCACAGCTCTCCCTGATGGATGAAACAGACAAAGGGATAGTTATAGAGATGTGTGATGGGTTTCTGCTTTATAGCAGTTATGACTGAGTTACCTCTGATGGGGCACTTTCTCCAGAGCAAGATCAACAGCTGGATGAGGAGAAGGATGAAAATACAGGGCAGCCCAGCGTAGAGCACAATCCCACAGTCTCCTGCAGAGAGAAGAGACGCTGAGAATGGAAAACTGCTAGCAAAACAGATGGGCAAAAGGAGGTCTTTTCCCCAGAACTCCACATTCATTCCTCTGTGCTCTGTAGCATGTTGCCCATCTGTATATGGAGGCAGTGGGATGTGCCTCCATATACAGGGACAGCGGCCTTGCAAAAATTGTAGTAGCCAGCCATGTCAGCAAAAATTGACGACATTGCCCAACAGCGATACCTGGTAACAGTGTAGACCAGCCCTACTCCTGCCGGCCTGTACTGGACATCATTTCATTGAGCCATTTTAGCCTGAGACCTCCTGCTCCAGTGATGAGTGAATAGGGGATAGCTCAGAATCCTAGAGGCCAGAGATGGAGACGACCTTGTTTCACTGGGTGCCCTCTAGCTCCCTCCTGACCACTGCAGGATTTTTCCCTATATTATAATGGCTAATGTTTGTCCAGTCCTCCTTATTGGGCTTTCAGCCCTGCCTCTGGGCATCTGTTCCATTATCTGTTAGATCTTGCTGTCAGGAAGCCATTCCTGACATTCATCCCGCTCTTCCCTTTGTTGTTCTTCCCCTTTGGCTCATCTCAAGTGACCCTTCTGTGTCCTTACTGTGCTTCAGGCTGCTTGACCAGAAACCCAGTTCACACCACTGAGGGTTGAAAAAGGAAGGTTTTCAGAAGGGGTGGGAAAGGTGGGTGACGGGGGAGTGACCGTCACTGTCTGTCCCATACCTCAAGCACCTTCTCAGTGGTTTCCAAAACCTCGGCTTGCTCCCATTAGTTATCATTCCCCTGAACTATCTCATGTGATTCTGTCTATTTCTCTAGCTTGGAGTAACGTCGCTGACTCTTGGTGCCCAGATACCACGGGGAGGGGCGTAGCATAAATGCCCCAGTAGGTAGGTTAGGTTTGATTATAGGATACTGAACCTGTTTCCTTGGAGACTGTAGCACTGATGCTTCTCCCCTCGCTGCTCTCTTTGGCTGTACAAGTACAGATCGTCTCCTGCTTCCACGTCTCAGAAGGGATTGTCGTTAGGCTCCAAACACTAAAGATCCCGTTCCTGTCTATGGCTCCAGCATCCATCTGACCCTCAGACACCTGCTCACCAGTGTCCCAAAGAACTTCACTCCAGGGAGGAGTGAAATCAGACAGCAGGCAGAGCAGAGGAATGGCGGGGGGAAGCTCAGCATCCTCTTGTGTGGAGGGCACCAGGATGGAAAGTCTCGGCTCGGAGCCATCTAAAAGAGAGTTGAGTCACAGAAACGAGAGGTCGGAAAGACCTGTTAGCGGTAGCTCAGCTAGTCCATATCCTGCTGCTACCCCTACCCGACCAATGCAGCCTGTTTCTAAAGCTTTGTCTCTGCCTGTTTTCAATGTCTTACTCTAGCGGTTTTCAACCTTTTTTCATTTGAGGACCCTTAAAAATTTTGACTGGAGGTGTGGACCCCTTTGGAAATCTTGGACTAGTCTGCAGACCCCCAGGGGTCTGCAGAGCACAGGTTGAAAACCACTGTCTTACACTATGGGGCATCCACCTTGGGAGACTCCCACAATCCATTGCTCTTCAGAAGTTTGTACGGATATGATCATCAAGGATGATTTGCTTGGTGCCGACAATGTGTTTGGTTAGGCAGAAATGCAGAAAAAGAGTTGGTCAAGTCTGGTGGTGAGGACACCCGACCAGGAGTCAGGGGGCCAGAGCTCCTTTCCCAGCTTTGCGTCTGACTTGCTCTGTAACCTTGGAGACAAGTTCATATTGCATCTGTGCCTCATTCCCCAAATGTAAAGTTAAGGAAACACGACTTAGTCACATTTGCAAAGTGCTTTGAGATCTATGGATGAAAAGCCTGATAGAGGAACCTTTCTTGCTTAAATATTATAGTCAGTCTACATTTTCTTATTATTACATTCATCCCATTTGCCGGAGATACAGCCTCCAGTAGCAGACAAAGTGATTCCATGCCTTCTCTTTTATATAGTTGGAATATTTGCACAGTGTGGATCAAGAATATATAGACATTACTACTTGTACATTGAATTATTATGTTCAATTCATACTGTGCTGCTTGAGACGACGAATAGTCCCCTGTATGAAAACATTGGGGAAATCATTTAATGAAGCCTGGTGAATGCCTGAAAAAGAACCTGATAAATATTAAAGTCTTAATAGGATAGCAGGGCAGTTGAAACATACCCCATGTCCTAGGCTCAGACAGTTTCAATAGGAATCATCAGCAAATGTGACTATCAAATCTGATTCCTAATGTAACATACCAACTAGAAGGCAGGGAAATAACACCTAGCACTGATGTGGTGCTTTTCATCCATAGATCTCAAAGTGCTTTTACACAGGAGACTCATTGTCCCCATCATACAGACGAGGAATTTGAGATGCAGAGAAACCCAAGGTCAGATTTTCCAAAATGTCCCAGGTTTTGATCAGAGCGTTTTAAAAGTCCGATAATTTATTTGGGCACCTAAAGGGGAGCTGATTTCTTTTAAAGATCTCACCCCCTCTGTGCCCAGTGTTTCAGGAACAGAACCCAGGTCTCCTCATTCCAAACCCTATGCCCTCGGTCACAGCCTGGACCATGCTGCCTCTATGCACAAATGCCAATGGCTTAAAGCTGAAACAGAAGGATTGGTCACAATTTAGCCAAAAAAAGATGATTTTTTTCAAACAACACCTAGCATTAGGTTATCATTGATCTAAGCTGCTAAAAACTCACCTGTGACAATTAGTCTGGTCCCAGTCCCGAAGTTGGGCTGTAGATACACAGAGGCAGAGAGGCCACAGTAATAAACCCCCGAGTCGTCTCTTTGTACGTTACTGATAAGTAGAGCAAACATGTTTGCCGTAATGTTGACTTTACTCGAGTATTTTCCATCTAAAGATTCAAACTCAGAACTCTGATGAATCCCATGTAAACTTCCATTCTGTTGTTCCTTGTACCACCGAACTCGCCATTCTTCTTCTGATATTCTACAGTCCAGGTGCGCAGTCTGTCCAGAAGTCAGCCACAGCTGTGCTGGGCTTTGCTGGATTTGTATCCCTTCTTCCGAGGCAGCCACTGTACAGGGGAAGAAAGGAGTGTGTTAATACAGTGAGTACTGGAC